GACTCCAAAAGCCTGGAAAGGAAAAATATAAAAAAAGAAACCTACTGGGCCAAATTCAGTACTCTCAGCTATTTTCCTTCGCTGATCGTGTCCGCATGGGTCTTGTGTTTGTTCAGGGTAGGATCTAACTTTGTACACACCTGCAGTGTGTATGGTCCTCAATGCCAACAAGAGATCAAGGCTATCCGAATTGTTTGAGATGTCCCTCCTCGCCGAAAGAACCACATTCACCAGTGGTTTGGCTGTCGCTCCAAACGTGCAGAACTCTGCAAAGAAAATGAGCCATCTACGAAGGCATCCTCATGAGAGGTCCCCGGGCTTCCCATGTGATCATCCAAAGCTTATTGAGGTGATGGCCCCTGTCGTCAAATCATGCTGTTTGGAGCGAGATTGACATTTGTGCCCGAACCTTTGGATCGAAGGTTGTTTTTTTTGAGTCGACTTGTCACAGCCTGCAATGTACACAAAATCAACAAAATCTAAGTCCTTGCAGCCTTTCCTTGCTCTCAAACGCTCTCAAACACTCAACTCATGACGGAAGTGACGGACAAGCTTCCCGGCAATTTGCCCAGCAAGCTTGGCCAAAGGTCCTGTCGGTGGGCATGGCAGACAGCTTCCCCAACAAGGTTTCATCATGCCCCACTTCTTGTTCCACTTCGTGTTTCATTTGATTCACATCGATTCACGTCCCAAAAACCACTGCGCGGGTTCCTTTAGGAAGCGAAGAAGCTTCAGGGACAGAACAAACACAATATGTAAATGTAAGCATCATTAAGAGCTACATTAAGCTACCCATATCAATATGCAAGCTTGCATTGGTAGCTACCCATATCAATTCATATCTCATGTGATATGTTTCAAAACGCAATTTTCAGAGTGCAGGCAGCAGCTGGCCAGTCCCGGTTCCTGATTTTTGCGCCCTTGAACTCAGCATGCTCAGAGCTTTGCTTAGACAACCCGACTTCCAAGACATGTTAGTTATTTCCCAACCGCCGAATTGAAACAGATCTGAAGCTTCGCAAGTCCATCGGCTCAATTCAAAGTCCATTGGCTTTGCCCCGCTTCACATTGGGAAACATGCGCAACTGATGGATGGCCGTGGATTCTGCTGTACCGTCCAAAGAAGACGTGAAGCCAGGCCTTGCTGGGCAAATGCTGGAGCTTGCTCGTGTTTGTTTGCATTGGAATACCTCAGCAGATGCAAGTGCTCTCCTTTGCAAATGGGGAGGAGAACATGAAGTGAAGGATTTGACACGTCTCAGGTTCCTTCGGGCTACAGCTCCGGGCCGGCGCCAAGCGTGACTCGGAAAAACTGAGGCACTGCCAATGCGTCAAGTTCGGGGTAAGACAGGTAAGAGAGGTACAGGAGGTAACATGTTTTGTTTACGCAATAGGTTATCAACGAGTGATGCGGAGAGCGGCTGATGTGATTTGACAGGAGAATCAGAGATTTGAGGCGTTGCACTGTTTTTGGTCTGGAGGAGGGCACAGGCATGTGCTGTGCAGGCTCCTAACCTTGAGGTCTTGGAATCAATAGATTTGCATATTGTTTTAACAGTCCACATCCTAGCTCATCCCCTCAACTGCAGGGGTGGGGTAGTGGCCCGCCTTTCCACCTAGATTTGCACCTGGGGATTGAACTCGGATCCGATGCATGAGGGATTCGTCATAGTGGCTAGACCATACCGGCCCTCGAATCAATAGACTAGCAGCACGGTTTGCGTGGATCACATGCACGAACATTCCGGGATCGTCATATCATTGTGCAACATGTGATCTTGGCTGGCTGAGGGTCTCAAACTATTGTGCATTGCATCCTAAAAAGTGCTGGAATGACAAGACCTTTCAAACTAAGGTGGAGTCTTGCATGGCAATTCCTCGGTCGGATTACCAGGCACTCACAGCCTTTGCGGTCCAGCTCCTTGGAAGAGGCTTGACGAGCAGCACCAGGCTGTTGTCCGCTTCCTTCGACTCACCAGCACCAGGTGGAGAAAATGCTCTTCCACGCAAAGAAGCGTTATGAGGAGCAGGCCAGAGCAGTATTTGTGTGCCATGTCGAAAGGGAAGTGCACCTGCACGTGTCCTACCCTAGCACTAGTTAGCAAAGATAGAAGGCATAGTATGGCATAGTGATTAGTTCAGTCATTTCCTCCTGAACTGTTTCTGGTGGCTCGACGGCACAGAGCGCAATTTTATCAGGAGCACCAAGAGCACTTGCACCAGGCATTGCTTGGATGCCTTTGGTGGCTTTGATGTCGGAAGCAAGCCTTGATACATCTTGATACATTGGTATCGTTCCAAAAAGTTGTGCTGGTAGAACTCTGCACGCAGGCACACTCAGTTGTTCATGTTTAAGGCCTCAACATGTTTTGCATGGTTTTTGCGCATGCTTTGTAAAGGACCCCAGACAATTTCTTTTGCTGAGGTATGTTAGAGGCATTTTTCTGCAGGATGCTGTCAAGTATGAGGCTGGGTGTGCTTTTTAGCACTTTGTATCGTTTGTATTTTGTGTTTTGGACTTTGGAGTCTTGGGACTAGATACATGATGAGTCATCATAGTTACATGATATACAATATATGTATATATATATATCCATACATACATAATTACTAGTAATAAGGGTGAACAGAGCTTGGTGTTTCTCCTCTTTGCTCGCAGGAGGCTTGCAACAGCTTCAGCCAAGCATTGCCGCTGCTGCAAGCTTCTTTGGGGAAGCACTGTTTGGAGGCCCCGAATGGGGGACATTGAAAGGTGCTTGGTTGTTTTCAATGTTGAAGTCTGAAACCACGGAGGTGTCAGGCCGCTTTCTCATGGTGTGCCTTATGTATGCCCAGCGAATGGGAGAGGCGATTTGCCTTGGTGAGGACCACCTGATCAAGAAGAAAGGAACAGAATCAGTTTTAGATTTAAGATTTGACAAGATAGCACATTGGACACAAGAATGTATGAGACTCCTCCTCAGCTTTTCTGTTTTCTAGAGTGCTTTTTCTTTGCCTAAGGAGCTTCTGCGAAGGCAGCGCACGCCTGCCTTGCTGCGGCTGCTGGGAGAAATCCTTAACCAACAGGGGTTGCAGCTCCAGGACCGTGGAGGAAGCTCCAAAGTGCGTTGGAAGACCCGAGGATCTGAGAATCAAACTGCCTGGTTCTTGAGAGGATGTAAGCAGCGCAAGCAGGTATTTCTTCTCACGGGCCGCGGAGCTTTTTCAAGAGGCTGAAGCCTTCGGTCCAGGCTCGGAAACCTCCAGAGCGACTGATCGGGAAGCATTTGAATGTGGGGAATGGATGGGAATGGTCAAGGATTGAGTGGTACTTTATGCTTATATAGAAACGATGTACTTTACGGCTCGTTTGGAATGTCTCGAGCTGGGAAGCTTCTCCCAGAGGCTACGCTCATGCCTACACCAGTTGGGCCCTGTCTCATACTATGTTGGGCGACCTTGCAAAGGCTGAGGCAGTGGCAGAGCAGGCATTGGAAAGCTATCACTTCGGGCTTTGGTTCAACTTTATACAGTCTCTAAGCTTTTGTGATTCTCCAGCGTCCGTTTTCCATGAAAAAGCTTTTGGCGTCGAGGCAGTGCGGAGGTGTCCTGGATTTTGGGTACATCCTTTGCAGCGGCCCAGCCACTTTCTGCCCAACATCGCGTCCCATGCATGGCACGAGGACGGGAAATTCGCAGGAGGAGGGCTTTGGAACATTGTCAGTTTGGGAAACGAAGAAAGGAAGAACGAACGAAAGGCCAGAAGGGAAGGTCTAAAGTCTAAAGGTCTAAAGAAAGGGAAAGGGAAAGAAAAAGGAAGCTACTAGTGGCTTCTTGTTACTAGTAGTAAGGCCAGGAGCTACTAGTAGCGTCCTTGCTCCTAGTAGCGATGCCAGGAGCCCTAGTAGCGTCCTTGTTCCTAGTAGAAAGGTCTAAAGAACAAGAGAAAAAGGCACCTATAGATGTTCATCAAATGCCCGAGCTGAGGTCAAGAACTTTCCCTGGATGGCCAAACTCCAGGATCATTGGCTTCAGAGCTGAAATGTGAACCAACAGTGTCGGAGGTATGGCAACGAATGGAAACTAATATGAAACTATATACGTGATATATGAAACGACACCCATCACTTTTTGGCACATTTGTTCCATGGAAGTAGTTGTTGGCATGTTGGACCCATTCATGCGACATCACGTTGGAAGATGGGTTGGTTGACACATTCTGGCGCATTTTTGGCCAAGGCTTGAGATTAAAGATGAACTTCTCAAGTTGCAAGGGGAAGCTTGGCCAGAAGTTCGTGGCCATGATAGAAGTCTTTCGAAGGGGAGACTTCTCCGCACTTGGGCAGGATGGTTGTAGGGCCGACATTGGCTGTGTGCAACAGAGTCAGTCTTGCAACCTTGTTCGACCTGTGTGTTGAAATACCGTTGGAACACTTGTGTTGAAACATGTTGAAACATGTTGAAACACAATGTCCCAGCGTTTCCTTTGGTGAGGACGGGTGTTTGGAGAGAGTTCCCACTGCTCGGCCTCGATGTTGATAGCAAGAGCTCTTGCCCTCACACATGGCATTTGCTTACACAGGACAGCACGAGCTTTCTACGACTTCTTCACAAATGCCTTGAGTCTTCAAGCGTCATTATTTCTTCAAGAGTCTGCTTCAGATGTGAATTGAGCGGTTCAACTCCCGTGGTTTGAGGGCTTGTTCTCAGATTGCTGGCAGGTTGAACCTGTTTGGAGTCATTGGCAGCTTTGCCCTAACGAAGAGACTGCTTTGTTTTCACGCGCCTTTGTCAGCAGGGCTTTAGGATGTGAAAAAAGAAACAAGATGAAACAAGTGTCTTTCTACAATCAAGTGAAGGACTTTGGAATTCCTTTGCGCAGGTTTGACCCCCGGAATGCATCTCAAGCCGCATTGCGGACCGACAAACTTACATCTCACCTGCCACTTGGGACTACAGGCAAGGGGTACCAGCTTGACAATGCTTGGGTGGCAATGCTCCATGTTGCAACATGATGCAACATGTCGACATTTGTGGAGAATGCGACGTACGACAGGTCCCTCCTGGTTGCAGCATACGCGTTGGCAAGGAATGGCGTACATGGCACGAGGGGCAGTGCTTGGTCTTCGATGACTCCTACGAGCATGAGGCAGACTGCAAATAGCACAGCACCTTTTTGTTCGGTGCGCTTTGTTGTCTCGCAAACGTGGTTTCTTCAATTTCAGAGTTTTTCAAACGGTGATGGTGTGAGGTGCGACACGATGGCGATTCCACTCGCATTGTTTTTGCCTGAGTTTTGCACCTACTGTTTGCTAGATCTTGCGAACACTTCAGACCATGTATTTCGGACTGTGCCGTATTCATTCTCAAGCTCTTGGCTCAATCTTTCACAAAAAAAATACTTATCTCATACTCTCCTTTTGGACCTTTCTGAGTGCTTTTTTCTTGAGGTGCTTTTGGTACGCTTCTGGCATCCCGATGTGGATCCCAAACAGCGGCAGGCCCTGCTGGCAGCAAAACTAAAGCAGCGCAAGCTGAAGGACCGGACTCTGAGTCCGAGCTAAGAGCTGCGCAAGCTGTTCTCTAAATGTCCGTGTTCTGCAGTTCTGTTCTGCACTGTCGTTCTGTCGTGGCTTTCACCTTGCAGGAGTGGACGTTGTGCTCAAGCAACAGCTACTGCAGCAGCACTGGAACAGAATGCTTCAGGGGTAGACCCGGATGATCCAGATTTGGGAGACGATAGGTGCTTGGAATGCCAATCCGACCGTTTTGGCACAGTTGGACTGATTTGTGTCGGAAAGTTTGGAGTTTTCACAACGGACGCAATCTATTCACTGTTGCAAGCCCAGTGGGGCTCCTCTCAGGCTAGCCATTGCTGCACTTTCTGGAGGGTCAAGAAACAGCCAAGACTGCGAGAGACAAGAGATGCCTGCCTTCGAGCTTTCGGGAATAAAAGATGCTGAAAGCGCTGATGCTGTGGCTTCAGGAAGTATCGGGAAACAACCTGGGTGAAGAAGACTCTTGCAGGGCCCATAAGCATCATTCTGCACCTGAATTTGCCAAAACCAACACCTGAACAATCTATATATAGAAACACCCCATGTGAGTACGCTCACAACACACACAAGCACAGAAGCTACGCGGCAAACAATGCATCGATTGATGTGAATCGGGAATACTTCCGTGCAGGTACTTGTAGTACTGTCCACTCGGTCGCAATACCGAGTCTTTCAATGCGAAAACCAAGTGTTTCGACCCTGTCTCTTCAAGGCCTGAAAACTGGACCTTCGTGCCAGACAGTTTTCAAGGCTTCCCGGTCCAGGAGGGGTACACAGCGTAAACCAAGTCGTTCGATACGTCTTGGACGTTAGGGCATGGGCCTTCGCGGCCTTCAATACCTCAAAACAAAGAGAAAGATAGTTTCACAATGTTTCACTGAACAATAGTGAGTAATGCACAGACCGTCAGAGACCGCTTTGATTTTGTTTGGAATTCGAGGACCTGGGTATTCTGGACTGCTGGCAACGTGTTCCTGCCCTGGATTCGCCTTGGCGGTGGGTTCCAGTGTATCATGGCTCTGGCAAAGTGTGCTTTTCGATTGCATCACTTTGGCTATATGGCCAAGTGTTCTTCAAATTTTAATTGCCAAATTCTAGTTCTTCAAAAGCAATTTGGAGTCTTGACAGTTGAACATCTCGTTCACATGCCTCTATCTTCACGGCTAATGGGAAGATGCCACGACTCTTTCAGATCAGTGGGAATCTGTGATTTCGGATTTGCTTGTTTTCTTTCTCACAAGAATGGTGGCCATGGAACTTGTTGAGACTTTAGAAGTCCAAGCAGACTGAGTGAGCACAAAAAGAACTGCGCCAAGGTATGCCTTGAGGTTGCTTGAAGATTTGTCCAGCATGATCCCGTGCCGTGCGACCCCGAGTCTTGAAGATGCTTGCTTTGGAGCTGTGGGCTCGAAGCTGAGGTTTCAATGACGCCAAAGACTGTGAGAACGTGGTGTCCTTCCGTTTCAGAGCCGACACTCCGGTTGGTTTACCCAGCACTGGCATTTGGACATCAGTTGACTCAGTTGACTCATGAGAATACTTTCGTGTTTGAAACTATATGTACGCCGTTTGATTGCTTGGCAGGTAACTCCAGACAAGTCAATGTGGCAAGAGAGTTCGCAGGCAATGAACACACGTTGCAAACATAGATTCAAGATCGCCGAACTGTGCCGCTCACCTCTCCCCTCACAGGCTTGGCTCCTGCATGTGGATGCCTTTGCAGGAGATGTAACAGAACGCTCTTCATGAACAGCAGCGTGATCAACAGTTTATGACGTTTGAAGCACACTGTTTACTCTGCATTGTGTATGAGTGAAGTTTTTCGAATGATCCGCAGGCGCCTTGGGTCGAGTAAAAGCGAGTTTGGCACCGGAGCCTGTGTGAGGCATCCCGCCATAGGCGACGCTCCTTCGTCGCTGTCGCGTTGGCTGCTGGCCGTTGAGTCGGCCAGGTCCCTGATCTAGGACCTTTGGAGCTGATCTTCGAGAGAAGACTGCAGGAGGCTAGACCTCCCACTGGGCCTCTTGGGCCTTGGACCCTTTTTCCAGGACTACCTGGAGGAGCTCTTCACCCGTGGCTTCCTGGACCACGACCTCGAGCTCTTCCGCACGAGCCCGCTACTGCGCAGCTTCGCTGATCGCTTGCGCTTCATCATCGAGATCTCCGACCTTGGCGACTATTTGATCACCAAGATCGCGAGCTACCTCATCACGATGATGAATCCTCCATCGACTACCGGCGGATCCATTCCTCTTCAGGAATATCGACGAGATGTTCCACCAGGCTGGCAACCAGGAGACCCCTCCTATCCACTGAGGAGCTACTTCGAGAAGATGCGGCTTTGGTACCGCGTGAGCAACGTGGAAGATGAGAGCGTGGGGCCACTCCTGGCCGGTCGGCTCTATGGCCGAGCTGCAAAGGTCGCCATGACCTTGAAGATCCCACGGCCGGACGGCCGATTTGACACTGGGGATGCGGCCTTGGCACGACTCTCGGTCGACGAGGTGCTGGATCCTACAACTGGAGCGGTGATTCAGCAAGCGATTCCATCGGGGGTACAGTTTTTGGTGGATGCTCTGCGACGAGCTTTTGGACAACAAGATCAAGATCTTGCAACAGAAGCGCTGGAGAAGTTTTTCAGTTTACAGCGCGGCAAGTTGTCCCTGGCTGAGTATGCCGTGGAGTTTGACACCAGACTGGATGAAGCCTCCGATCGAGCAGGACTGCAGTTGAACGATGTCGGAAAGTTCTTCTTGTGGTTCAAGCATAGCGGCATGTCCACCAAGGTGATCGACGACATCAAGCTACAAGTTGGTGGAGACTATAACAGGTTCCAGGATGCAAGAACATTGGCTCTCCGGATGAGTCCAAACAGATCCGACAGAGATGATACAACCATCTTCTACGAGGACAACCTTGAAGAGAGCTACAATGACAACTACGGCTATGATGACTCCTGGAATCAAGATCAGTGGCATGGCTATGAAGCAACAGAAGAAGGTGAATGGGTCTATGAGACTGACGACACCTACTATCAAGACTGGTCAGAAGAGGCAGATGAGTGGCAGAATTTCTATGAGGATGAGACACCATGGAACTATGAGGAGCCATGGACATCTTCCTATGAGGCAGAGACACAACCGACCACTTCAGGAGCAGCAAAGACAGAAGAGACCTTCGCCGATCAGGAGACCTACTACAAGGGCAAAGGAAAGAGCAAGGACGGTTGCTTCAACTGCGGAAGCAAATGGCATCAAGTTCGCGATTGCCCCATGAAGTCAGAGAAAGGCAAAGGTCATGCCTATCAGAGCAAGGGCAAGTTCGGCGGCAAAGGCAAGGGCTTCCGTGGACGCTGGACGTGGCGACCATCTTCATGGAAAGGAAAAGGCAAAGGCAAGTTCGGCTATCGCGGTGGCTTCAAAGGTGGTTTCAAAGGCAAGAGCAAGAAAGGACACTGGTTCATGACTGAGACATCTGGTCCGACAAGTGAGCGCACTCTCAATGTCCAGGACGGCAACATCCAAGTTCTGGGCACCACAGATCGGATCGATCGGAGCCACACGCCAGAAGCCTTCATCATCCACTCCTCCTCAGAAGATGACATCATGAAGGTTCGACGAGCCTATGCTGCCACATCAGCGAATGAGGCGACCTCCAGTGAAGAGCCTGCAACAGCACAGAAACAGACCAAGAACTTCGACACGGCAACATGGAACTTCATGTTTCTGGCTGGTGAAGCATGCTCGTACTTCCAGGTTCGCGGACAAGAACGAAAAGGTCTTCTGATTGATCCTGGTGCCGCAAGCGGCCTTATTGGCAGTGAGACATTGCGCATGTTGCTGAAGGAGTGTGCAGTGGACACCCCACAATTTGAGTTCGACAAGACGACACCTGTTTCTGGCATCAGCGGAACTTCATCATCAACGCTTGGACAGGTGACTGTACCTCTTCGAGTTGGCAGCGTGCCTATCACATACACTGCTGAGGTTCTTGGCGGCGATGGATCTTTGTGTCCCGCACTGGTCGGAAATCCCACACTTCGGAAGCTCAATGCCACCATCTTTGCCAATTGGTTTGACAATGGTGATGGCTTGATGACCATGGATGGGCGACAAGATGAAGGTACCGTGGCCATCAAATTCTTCCGACTTCTGCTCACCGAAAGTGGACACTACATCCTGCCGACAGACAACAAGGAAAGCCAGAAGGTTCACTACATGGACAAGAACAAGGCCATCCTCTTCAGTCAGAAGGTTGCACTGGCGTCGGAGGAACAATGGAATGACCTCCATCCTCGAGTTCGCCATTGTTTCCTTGGCAGGACACTTCCACAGGCACGGGCAGAAGGTGACCGGTGTGAAAACATGGCATTGCATTCCAATGTCATTCCCGATGACAAGATGATGATCGCACATCATGCAGCACAAGAATTACCAGGTCAACGACCATCGAATGACAATGAGCAGAAGCAGACAAACCTTCCTGATGCAGTACAACATCCACATGATGCAGTACAACATACGGCGCAAGCCTTGCGAGAAGAGAGCGACCAGATCAACGAGAGCCATGACCACACTGCTGATGGGCACCCCATTTTGGATAGTCAGACCCAGACAGCAGAGAAGAAGCAGTTTCACAGTTGCACGACAATTCATGAAGAAGCAGAAGATGATGATGGAAATCCCAAGCCTGCGAATTTCACTCCATCGGCCATTTTGGCCAGTGAACAAGAATCAAGTGATCGCTATGACCATGATGTTCTTCCAGCAGAACACGATCATCTTGATGTCTCCAAGTTGAACAAAAGATACAAGGCCATTCCTGAGGAGTACTACACCAGATCCGGACTCACACCTGTGACTCCAGGAAACTTCAAGAGCTGGTTCTCCAAGACACGTGGACGTGGTCTTCGGTGGCACGCATGGGAGCTCTGTTCAGGCTCGGGAAGACTCAGCCTGTGTTTGCTCATGGCAGGTCTTGTTGTGGGCTTCCCGGTTGACTATCGCTACGGCTGGGACATCAACAATGCCCAACATCAGAGCTACCTCAACCAGGCCTACCACGAGTTCAAGCCAGGTGTGGTGCATGCAGCGCCTGACTGTGCACCATGGAGCGTGTCCGCCAACACCAAGGATCCACGACTCCGGCATCAAGACCGACTTCGTGATCGTCCAGGACTTCAATGGCTGCAAGAAATCTTTGAGAAGCAAGATCGACAAGCCAGAGGCTACAATCTCGAACAACCTCACAACAGCGCCATGTGGCAAGAACATCTACCAGAGAATCCGGTGCGGCTGTCCCGCATCAAAGGCAACCGCAGCAAGCAAAGAGTTGATCAATGCATGCATGGAGCTTGTGATGAATGTCAGAATCCCATCAAAAAGTCAACAAGCTTTGGCAGCAACATGAGATGGAATAGATGTGCTCTCAGGTGTTCAGGCCACAGAGGACGAGCTCACTCTCATCTACAAGGCACTGGACCTAATGGACTCTCACGGACATCAATGGCAGCAGTCTACCCACAGACACTATGCCAACGCATGAAGAACGACATCATTGGCTACCTCAACAACAAGGATCTGATTGACATTGGCAAGTGGCCAGATGACTGCTACCACTCTGTCATCACCCACATGTATGAGTGTGTCAGATGTCAACTTGGCAGAGCATGTCCAAAGTCCATTGAGCGCTCGCTGATTCCTGGGCAATGCAGACATGGCAAATGGCCTCCAGGAGAAAGTCCAAAAGAAAAGGCGAAAGCCGATGCAGATCCTCTGACACGATGGAAGAATGAAACACGCAAAGAAGTGCTTGATACAGTGGATATCAAGAACATGTCCTCCTACGGTGGCTTCCACATTGAAGACATGCATTTCCTCAAGAAGCTTCTCATGGAGACAGTGCACGCAGCGCTGGGCCTCTTCGATGAAGCTCTTCAACAGAAGAAAGAATACATGCACTGGATCGACGACCCGGTGCACATGAGCCTCTACAAGGAGATCTTTGGTGGCGTGCTGGTGGTGAAAGGAGTTAAGGTGTCACTTCGTCCTTTTACAGATGGAACAGCAGAACCCAAGTTGCCGATGGTGTCATCCTACCTTCGACTTCATGTCTATGGCCATGTCAAGGAGTGGAAGATCATGCCAGTACACGATCTCAGAGAGATGAGCCACTCACAGATTCACCAGGCCATCGACATTGATGATTGGCTGATCACCATCTATGGTGTTGAGACAGCAGCTGTTCCAGCACCATCAACTCCGGCTTCAAGACCAAGAACACGACCAGAAGAACCACCAATGCCTCCGAAGCCTGAATCTTTATCGCTTCCAAGACTCATGGACAGACCAGCAGATGAAAAGGCAGAAGACGCCATCGTGGAGACCATTTATGAAGATGCTGAGCTTGCAACGCAGTCACATCAAGAGATTGCTCCGATCAAGCCCAACTACAATCTGCGCAAAGTCCTTGAGAGACTTCCGAAAGCAGTCAAAGAAGGAGACATTGCAAGAGCAAAGCAACTACTTCTTGGACTACATGAACGTTTGTGGCGCTCTCCGATGTCTGACTTCATCAACCTCTTGAGGAGATCAGGAATGCCAACAGAAGTGACACAGCTTGTTCCAGAAGTGGTGAACTCCTGTGCAATCTGCCGGAAGTATGTCAGGCTTCCCAACAGACCTCAATACAAGACGACTGGAGTTCGATCTTTTGGCGACGCTGTGCAGATTGATCTTTTCCATTTTGAAGACAAGTGGTTCATCCTCATGATTGATGAAGCGACCCGCTACAAGGTTGCAGACATTGTTGAAGGCCAAGAATCAGAGATTCTTCTTGCAGCAATGGTCCGTCTTTGGTTCCACTATTTTGGACCTCCTCAGAAGCTCATCATGGATCAACAACAGAGTCTCATGGGCCATAGCACTGCAGCAGAATTTGAGCGGATGAATGTTGAGCGGTGTCCAAGAGGAACGACAGCTGGACCAGGAGCAGAACAACACACTGGCACTGGTTTGGTTGAACGACATGTCTCCCTCGTCAAGATGACCATGCTGAAGCTGAGAGCTGAGTTACAAAGACAAGGTCTCAATCCAGAGCTCAGTGAACTCGCCAGAGAAAGTGCAATGGCACACAATTTGACGCTGTCATATGGAGGAGTCACGCCAGCAATGAATGTCTTTGGTGTTCCACCAAGACCCTTCTACGAGGTGGAATCTACAGGTTTGATGGCAGCATCGGGAGCTTTGGAAACCGACCTCACCGTCTTTGAAAGAGCCATGAGGATCCGACAAACGGCATTGGCACAATCACACCAAGCAGTCATAGAGGACCGCATCGCAAGAGCTAACAAGACACGACCACATCAGCTTGACCTGACTCAATTTGTACCAGGCACAAGCGAGATCGAGTTCTACAGAGAGGTCAAAGGAGATGTTGGTTGGCGAGGTCCCGCTTTGCTCCTACGGTTGGATGCAGACGAAGGCGTGGCAGTGATTCAATACCAGGGCAAGCCATACCTAGTCTCTCTCAGACACATCCGTGCATTCAGAGGACTTTACCTGGTTGACATCACCGACGAAGCCAAGACAGAATCCTTGAGGAAGATCATGAAGTACACGGAATCCATCTCCAGCTACAAGCCGATCCTGCATGGATGGGTCACTGACAAGATGAACAGATGGATCAGACTTCCTAAGGACAATGACACGGCCATCAAGGTGATGCAATGGGCAGCAGATGCTTACAGCATGTTGGACAAGTCAGAATGTCACGGTTGCATCCTTGGCAAAGCACTCAGACATCTTCAACCACCAAAAGGCACAGTTGGACATCTCATCACATGGATTCATGGCGGAGTCAACTACGCCATACAAGAACACAACAGTGACAACAACATGATCATGAAGAAGATCACCAACTACGCCAGAGAAGACATCTGCATTATGTACCTCTTCCGATATGTGACCAAGATTTCAGAAGACATGGAACGCTCATCACAAAAGATGCCAACAACGTCATTGGAACCTATGCAGGTGACACCACCACATCATGAAGGACAAGAACCAGAAGACATGGACGTTGAGCGTCATGGTGAGAAGCGTGAAGGTCCAGACAGCAGAACAGTCACTATAGCTCCGGAACGCAAGAAGCAGAAGACCATGCTGGTGAAGAAAGATCTCGAGTTCCTCAGACACTATTTCATCGCCACGAATAAGGACAGATTGGTGCAATTGGGTTTCCCTGAGAACTGGAAGAATGACTACAACCTCATGATGACCACGACACGGAAGTTCCTCATCAAGCAGTACGATGAACGAAGGAAGATGCTTCCAGAACTCTTCCACATTGAATACAAGCAGAACCATTTTGCATATGCCAATCTCCTCACGGGCGAGATCTACAAGGTTGATCAAGAGACCAACAACATTGAGGACGAAGACATCACTCCAGCAATTTGGAAGGAGCTCGATGAAGCGGACAGAAATGAAGTCAAGCAGTTTGTCGATGAGAAGGCATTCAAGAAGATCCACAAGAGTCAGGTGACCAATGACATGGTGGAAATCGACTGCAGATGGGTACGGAAATACAAGCGATACCCAGACAAGACCTTGCGCATCAAGAGTCGTCTTTGTGCTCGTGGCTGTCTAGACTCACAGAAGGCACAGTTGACCACACGGAGTACAACAGCGACAAGACTCAGTCAGCGCATCCTTGTTTCTCATGCAGCACGATGTAAGAAGAGAACCTTGGAATCTCTGGACATTGCAGGAGCATTTCTGAAAGGCTTCAACTTCGACGAGATCAGAAGAACATTGATGAAGCGTGGCATGAATGCACCAGAGAGAACAGTCATTGTCTATCCACCGGCAAATGTCTGGCGGCATCTCAAGGAGCTGGACTCAAGCTTCACAGTTCCCTATGACGACTACACTCAGTACGGATTGCTTTGTTGCAAACCTATTTATGGACTCAATGATGCTCCATTGGCTTGGCAGTTCTGTCTACACGACTTCATCATGGCACAGGGTGCAACATCATCACATCTAGATGAGAACTGTTGGACATGGAAGGAGAACAATGAGCCCATTGCCATGCTGACGACACACGTGGATGATTTGGCAATCTCAGCAACACCAGAGTTCATGAACGACATCTACAACAAGTTCGTGACCAAGTTCAAGAAAGTCACCAGGCAGCAGCTACCTTTTGATCACTGTGGCTGTGAGTACAGCAGAACAGGTGATGGCTATTTCATTGGCCAGAAAGAGTTTGCGAAACGCATGAAACCAGCAGCTGTTCCAGATCGAGCAGATGATTCTCCTCTGAATCCTCCAGAAGTTTCTGACCTCAGGTCAATCCTTGGAGCTCTACTTTGGATTACAGCAACACGGCTGGATGTGATTGCAGACGTTTCCTTGTTGCAATCAAGGGTGACAAAAGCAGAAGTGCAAGACATCAAGAATGCCAACGAAGTGCTGAGGAAAGTGGTTGAACATGCAGACATGGGTTTGCACTACAGATTCTTCAAGCACAAGGCCAAGAGACTGGCAGTGATTCATGACGCCTCTGCAGCGAGCAAGGGCAGATCATATGCACAAGAAGGTGTGATCATTTGCTTGACAGATGATGCCTGGCAAGACACGAAGATCAGCTATGAGCACACCTGCACTACAGAAGAAGATGATGACAAGCATGGCGGTGTCATGCATGTGCTCTACTCTCACGGAGCCAAGTCGAAACGCATTTCGTACAGTACATCGCACGGCGAAACGCTGGCCATGGTGAATGCACTAGAGGCTGCGACGCTTTGCATGATCCGACTTAGCGAGATCACGCACTCCGAGAAGAAACCGAGCTTGCAGCAGCTGATAGCAATTCAGTCACAAGGCAATGCATGTTTGCCCATGGACATGTACTGTGATGCAAGAGATGTTTTCGAACTCGTGACCGGCACGAAGACACTTCCACAAGACAAAACCCAAAGACTGTATGTTTTGGCAGTGAAGGAAGCTAGGTTGGAGGAAGAATCAGAATGGTGGCACTCATTCCCACACAATGCACGCTGGCCGATTCGTTAACGAAGAGTCTTGAACATGACAGCATGTACCCTTTTGCTTTCCACAGGGTTAGTCAAAATGTATGGGGTGAAAGACCATCCAATCATTTCCAGAGTCCTTCCAACGGCAAGAGACTTCAGCGAGAACGACCTCCAGAAAGACGACAAGGAGATCTATGAGAAGTTTGGGGAGAAAGCTAAAGTCTCTTTCGCCACCTTCCTCCTCGGGTTGATCACAAAGAACAAGCTCATGATGTTCATGCTCGCAATGTCTAGCGCGGCTCAAGCTCACGAATTTGATCGCGCTCCAGCAGAAGAGGACAGCGAGATGTGGAGCATCTACATGCTGATCCTTTACACCATTGTGGTGGCCATGGCAGTGCAGTTGGTGATGCACTACATCCTGAAGAAGAAGGAGTCAAAGCCAAAGATGATGGTGAAAGAAGAACCATCGAGTGACGATGCCATGGAGGTGGACTTCGAAGCAAGCAGCAAGAATCGCAAGAGAGCAAGGGAGTTGATAAAAGAGCAAGACATCGAGAAGCTGAAGGACAAGATTGCAAGCTATGAGGACTTGACCGAAAAGCTGCAGCGAAGCAAAGAACAGAACAAGACTTCAGCTGATGATTGGTATCGACGATACCAAGACGCCAAAGACGATCTTGACGCGGCCAAGACGGAGAGAGATGATGCTCGAGAAGACCGAGACAAACATCGGTCGATGCTCTACGAGGAGTACAACAAGCAGGTGGACCTGCGCAACAAGATCGAGACTTTAGAGAACCAATTGCAGACAGAGAAGGACAGACTTGATGGCATGAAGAAGGCCTACGATTTGGCTGAGAAGCGCAACAAGGATCTCGAGAAGAGATTGGTGGAGGCCGAGCGAGAAGCCAAGATGACGAGATCACTGGCACCAATTCCAAGTCCATCGACACCACAGTCAGCGGTGATCCAAGTGGAGAAGGAGAAGTTTCCTGAGAGGGTGTACATCACCGGCAATGGTACAAAGTACCATAGCGAAGGCTGTCATCATTTGAGCAGCCTAGCAAAGGCGTACACCAAGTGCATGCATTGCACAAGGTGAAAGCCACAGGCACCTAACAAAAGGTGACCGGAGTGAAGTTTTTCGAATGATCCGCAGGCGCCTTGGGTCGAGTAAAAGCGAGTGTATGTATGTTCATGTTTTGGGGCAGGAAGCGCTATTTGTGCAATGTTCTCCTGTCGTGAGTTCAAGGATCAGCTTGTGGGCCAGTTGATGACCAATTGGATGATGAGCTTTTGAGGTGATGATCCTTAATTACAACCGTCGATCGCCAATCATTGATTGAATCAAGATTGGTTCAATCCTGTTTAGTACATCGTGTGTTCCACAAAGTCCATTGAGCAGCCAGGAAGATTTCTGTCCCTAGGCTTCCACTGCAATTGCTTCCATGTTCAGACTCAGAGGTCTTGGGAGTCTCTTAAAAACTCACAAGGACGTTGGTCCTCCTGCCCAATGTTGGTACATGCCTTCTCAAGAGATCACTTGCACTGATTTACTTGAGGTTCACAAACGACGCGCATTTCTTTGGCTTCCCACTGAAGGAATCGATCGGTGTTCGCGTGGCCTGAAACCCTAGCTCAAACCATTGCCAACGAATGCATATTTGGAACACTGAAACATATGAAAAGTCTACACCATGAGCCAAAACACTGAAAAAGGAAACACAAATTGTGAAGAGTCACTGGAGTCGCAAACACTTGAAACTGCAGTTGTTAGATGGTTCGATTTGTTTGGCTGCTTCAACAGATTCTGCTTTGCAGTCACTCCTTTGTTCTGAGGTGCCCAGCATTGGACCTAATGTGCCGCGCAAGGCAGGGTTCATTGTGCGTGCACAGTGAGTAGTTGACAACAAGTTCAAAGGAAGAGTCAGTCATAATGTATATTTACTGTTGATGCCTTTTGTATACTTTTGTCATCTACACTCAACGACATTCATTATTGATACCAATTCTAAGTTTCCCTAAAAATCTAGGAACCAAATCATTAGGGTGAGCGCTTCTTCAAGCAGCTCCCCCCAAAGGCGGCTGCGGGAGCTTCCTTTTTTTTGCTCTCAAGCCGCGACTCCGAGTCGGTGGCAACCCCAGCGCATTCCGCAGCTAGGGTCACTCGTAGCCAAGACTACAAAAGATTGTCAAAGGGGATGCACCAAGACCAAGGTGTTGCTTTGGCACCCTTGGCAAACGCACGTGCAAGCATATCCAATGCAGCATTCTCGACATAAGCTTCAGCCCCGAGGAAAGCACCCTTCGGAAAGGTCTTGCCATTACTCTTGTTGCGCTTGTCAAGCAAAAGAGGCGCAACAACGATATTCTTCTGCTTACAAAAGGCAAAGCCCGAACGAATCAAGCTAGCGAAAGCTTGTGGCGTGCAGATGGTTCCATGGGGCAGTTCAAACCTCCAACCACGTACAAATGCCACAACGGCCAACTCGAAGACTGAGCAAGCAAATCCATCCCCGACGCGCCACTGCAAAGAGGCGCAGAGGCGTAAAAATGTGCGAAAGTTATTCTCAGTCAAGGTAGATGTGGCCCGAAAGGGTACATGAAGGTCAATTTGGACCTGCCAAGTAAACAACGCCGGCGAGATGTCCCATGGCCACTTGGGACACATCTGTCTAGCAGAGTGCTGGATGACAGGCTCAGGGGAAACTTGGCCTTTCGGCGTGCCAGAAGTGGCAGGCTTTTTGCGCATCCTATTTAGCTGGCTCAACCATAGCTGTCTGGCAAAAACATCATGCTCCTTGAGATGCAGCTCACTACGAATCTCGAAAGCAAGTTGGGCAATATGCTGCTTAGCACAGGTGTCCGCCAACCTATTAAGAATGATATCCTGACGAGTAGACCCAGCTTTGTTAGCCAATTCTTCCGTGAGTGCTTGGCTGGGAACGTGTTCCAACAAGTGTGCAGGGCACCAAAGCAATTGCAATGGAGAAGGATGGAGCTCTTTGCGGTGAAGCAGCTGGTCCAAAATGAAACTCCACCTATTGGCGTGGGTCCATTCCACTTGAACCGTTTCTGTTTGAAGCAACACAAGGAACTGCTTGACGATGGTAAGGGAATCCGTGTGGATTACCAAAGGCTTTTCTGCCCCCGCAAAGGCGACCAGAATGGCCCAAAGCTCAGCTGAATAGCTGGAAAGGCGCCAGTGGCGAACTCGACCAACTGAAATAATAGACTCATCGGCCGCAATGACGGCAAAGGATGCAATGGCCAGCCAAGGATATGCTGTCAATTGCACGGAACCATCCGTCCACACGTGTTGAACCTGTTCTTGCACTGCCAACCATTGACAAACAGGAACCTCCGAAATGCAGGACACTTGCAGTTTATCACGAATAGTGTCCAAAGGAAGCTCAACAATGCCCAGAGTGCAGAAGTTAGGGCCAAAGAAGAAATTGGTCGAAGGCCGCCGGAGCGGCTCTGGCAAGGAGTCACACTCGTAAGCAAAATGGCTAACGGATTCCTTGTGGGCAGTACAGAAGCGGCACTTGTCTTGGTCAACAAGCCCTGCTGCAGCAAGCCTGTCGGCTGTTAGAGTGCAACCCGTCACCGCACTTTCCCAAAAGAAAAGGAAAGAAAAGCCATCATGAGGAATGGCTGCTAACCTCTTCTTTGCCGAAAGCGTCATCGTGGTGTCAAGGAAGCCAACAGCAGTACTGATGTCTTTCCGTGGCATGAGGCAGGCAGTTTGGTAGCACTTATTGGCAGCCAAGCTCTTCAACAAACATTTCAGATCAGGGACCGAAAAGTCCAGAAAGCGGACCGGTGCCGACCCAAAAACCGAAAATTCAAAGGTGTGGACCCACTCAATATCTAGAATCTGGCAGGCTTGACTGAATTGTGTCATCCATGCTTGTGCAGTGAGTTGATCCTGCTCGAAAAGCTGCGCCCACTGCTGCCTCGCATACACAGAATATTGTAAAAAGCGAACCGATTCAGCAATTGTTGTGACCGCACGACAGAGGAATGGATCCAACTTGTGGGCCTTATACACAATGCAAAGAAGGAGATGCTTCGACCGCCATTTGGGTCTGTCTTGCCACAAGGCATCAGCTACAGCACTTTGAAGACGAGCCAAGGCACGCTTGGGAATAAAGTTCAGATGCGGCGCAAACGAGATCTGTGGCAGCACTTTGGTGGCCAAAATCTGAGCTCGCTTATACCCATCACAAGACAAGGCGCGAATAGCCTCACAATCTCGGAGTGCAGCATGTATTTTACCAGCCGGAAAGGAACCCACATTCTTCTTGGTTGTTTGCACAAAGGCTCCCAAGATATTCACCACCTCAACAAGCCGCATTTCCGGGAACGCAGTTTTTAGAGCACGCCGGAGGTCAGGGGTGGTAGCAAAGACCTCACATTTGCTTGCGTTCAGGAACTGGCCACATAGAGAATCCCACAATTCTGTAGCTTTGACAGCAGAGACCAGACCCTCTATCGTAGGTTGCCGAGACCACAAGTATGCGTCGTCGATGAAAGCACGGAAATCAACTCCCTCAATATGCTCCATCAGCCAGGCCCAAATGGCCATATGGAGGTTGATACAAAGAAGACTGAGCGAACATCCTTGCACAACGCCGTTTGGCGTGGAAATCGGAGCAGCTCTGGTCCATTGTTTGAAGGAAAGGAACCGCGTCATCCTCAAATAAAGGCATAGGAAGGCACGAACGAAACCAGTTGGAAGCCCCAATGCCAACATGATTGCAGCACAAAGCTTGGGCATCAAACGATCAAAGCATTTCGACTTGTCGAGCTTCAAGGCAGCAAAGTGGCCTTGAAAGCTGTGCGCATGATCAATCTCAAGCTGGAGCGTCATGTGGACCTCCGATATCTGGCGCATCTTGATACCGCCTTTCAGCTGTGAGGGCATAATCTGCTGTTGCCAACATTGTAACTGGAGGAAGCGCAGGCCGGTGTACAGAAGAGTGAAGATGGACTGCAAGGCAATGAGCCTTTTAGCCAGAGGAGCATCACTTCCATCCTTGTTCAAAATGATCACCCGCACCTGAGTGAGGATCGCAGGGAACTCAGAGGATCCTGCTTCAATGTCGTTGAAGAGGTCGGCAACAGGTTGGAAGGCAGCAGGTGGAAGAGCCTGAACTTCACGAGTACGCCACCCATCGAGGCCGGCTGCCGCTTCAGGTTTCCGGCGCAAAGCCTGTTCCCATAGTTGCCGAGCAGTGATGGGCGGTAGGGCAACAGGGCGACCTTTGTCATGAATATAAGGCCACACTTGTTTCAGGATCTGCATTTCGTGTTGGTGGCTCACATTCACTGAGAATACTGCATCCCATTTGTCAGCGATCACATCCATTGCGGTCTGCGGATCAAAAACAATATTTCCAGAGTCATCCTCAATGAGATTTTGCGGCACAACACGACCTTTCCTCTTGAGGTACTGATAGACAACTTTCCCGATCGTCAAAGAGGTGGTAGCATTCTTCATTGCTTGTCTCCACTTGCGAATGGCGGAGATTTTCAAATGCTTCAGCTCCTGGGTGATGGCTGCCAAAACGAGCTCCGCCACATGGTGCAAATCATGCAGAAAGAGTGTTTTAACAGACCAGGGAATAACATGTGCTTCTCTCAATCTGCGGAGCAGCCGTCGTTGAGTGTTGAGTAACGTATGATAGTCCATAGTCCCTGTAGACGGTCTTCCAAGGCGAACTCGAAGCTCTCTAAGGGAACGAAGGCATGCCTGCAACAACTGGAGCCGCGGCGAAGCCACACTGCCATGAGCCTCCTGTGAAGTCGCCATGGATGTCTTGCGGAATTTGGGGAGACGGCCCCGGACTCGCGGACCGTTCTCCCAAGTGGCCCCGTTCACAAGCAGCACTTGCGTAGCAAAGTGGTTAAAGATCGACCATCTTTTGCAAGGGTCTGACTCGTTGGAAAATTCTTGCTCATGCTGTCGCCACAGTTGCTCAGCTAAAGTGTTCACCGGACAAGCCGGGTCGGATGCGTTACAGGTCGTGACCTGTGAGAGATCCAAGGAAGCAAACCGTTGCATGATAGTACCAATCTGAGCAATGCGGTCCCAGGCAAAGGTTGCTTGGACAGGACGATGTTGGCGGTCTCTGTGGTCCAGTACCTCAATGCGTATCAAGGCTGCGAGAGCCGTGCGGTTCATGAGAATACCGTCAATAGAGGACTGCCCTTCATCATCAGAAGCCGCATGCTGAAAAAAAGGTGCAAGGCCGAACAACCTCTCCAGTGTCGTTAGTCTGGAGAAGCGGGTCCGCCCATCCCCAGTGGTCCAGGGCGAGTTGTACAGAAGGGTACATACCAGGCTCCATTTGGAAATCACCAGCGATGACAATGGGAATATCAGCAAACTGGGATGCCACCATAAAAATATGATCCAGCAACTCGTTGTTCCGCTCAAACTTGGGTCGTTCTGATGCAGCATTGGCAACGGCATAGAAGTTGAAGGCCAACAACTTGACACTTGCAGACACCTGGTGCCAAGTAGCTGTCACCCGACATGTGGCACGGAGGATTGACCAAGCTCCAGAAACATCCATCTTGTCCTCAAAAATCTGCGTGAGCTCTTTGTGAGCGCAGGTGGCAACACCTCCAGAGGGAATTCTGAAAGTGCCATTACTAGCACGTAGTTTGTGCAATGGCTGAGAACAGAATAAGCCGAAATTGCAGAGGGCTGCTTTCCTCTGCGACTCGGTCAGATTGGATTCAGCCACCCTGGCTTCCTGCAACATGAAGGCATCGGCATTCCAGTGTAAGCAGCTGGCATTGGTGGCAAAGGAGTCAATGTTCGCAGAAATCATGGACCAACGCGGTCCCTCGCCCGGATA